CACCAACGTCCGAACGATAGGACGGTTATGAGCATCCCGATGACTTGCATAGATAGCCGATTGTACTCGGCATTATTGCGTGACGAGGAACATACGGTTCTTGGAACCGCGCCAATGTTTTCGCTAGCGACGGAGCGGATTCCGAGATATGATTATCCTGAGGATGAGGCATTACACATACCTGAGATTCGGGTAGATTGGGGTCTCCCGAGGAGGTAGTACGGACTTACTCTGCCCGAACCTGACAAGTATTTCCGTGGCGGATTGTCGGCGAGGGGGAGTTACAGCGATTGGCTCTCCCGTTATAGTCGACGGCATCGGTTGTAGCCGACGTCTGGTGAACTCCGGTATTGAGAGGTGACATCAATGTCAGAGCGAGGTGACACGCCTAGTATCGAGAGGTGATATCGATGCTAGGGTGGGGTGATGTGTTCGGACAGAGAAAAATATATTTATGTCGGATCCGAGTGGTTGCGGAGTAGATGGATTCCGAGGAAAGAGGTGGTTGTGCTATGCATATGGGGAGTACATTATCTACGCATGGTGCGCGCGTAGAGACGATTTGACGGACTATGTCCTGCAACTTGTCGTACGGACTTGATTGTGATTGCTGCATGATTATCGTGATTTTGTGCTTCATTCTTATTTATTAAAGTATTAATATATATATATATGTATTTGTTTTCTCTGATTCCATGAGAATAGAACTCCGGGTTACGGCCTAGTTCACTCTCTAAGCAATTAGCTTAGGATGTTGTTATACAACGTTTCAGATCGTGAGCAGTAGTAGTCGCGGAGCGGACATCGGAGACCTGGGTGACCTGTCGACTGATCATGTATAATTATGTATTTATGATACGCTTATGCTTTTGGGAAAACAGTTTTGTATTATATCGGTGGTAGACTTTTAAGGTTTGTAATAATGAATTCGCTACCACTCGTTATGTATAATTATCTCTGGAATAATGTATCATATATGTATGAATGAATGTTTTTCCTTCCGCTAACTCTGAAAAGAAAAATTTTAAATTCCCACGGATTTTTAGAATTGTGTTTTTATTTTAGTTGTCCATGTAATGCAACTCGTATTATGGGGTACGGGTTTCGGGTGTCACACACTGATTTCTAAAAGATAGATTATCACATAATCGCAGAGAGATATAGACGAGAAGATTTGGTCCAACCAGCAAAAGGATCGAGAGAATAGGTAAATGGACATGGTCATATTTATCGTCAATTATTTGGTCGTGTTTGCATTATGTTCAACGGTCGTAGTTATCGTTAATTATCTAGTCGTATTTGTATTATGTTCGTAGTATAATCATGGTCGTAATTATCTGGTCGTAGTCGTAGTTATATGGTCGTAGAGAAATCACGGTCGCAATTATCTGGTCGTAGTCGTAGTTATCTAGTTGTAGTGAAAATACAGTCGCAATTATCTCGTCGTAGTCATAGTTATATGGTCGTAGTGAAATCACGGTCGCAATTAACTGGTCGTAGTCGTAGTGAAATCATGGTCGCAAGTATCTGGTCGTAGTCGTAGTTATCTAGTCGTAGTGAAATCACGGTCGCAATTATCTGGTCGTAGTCGTAGTTATATGATCGTAGTGAAATCACGGTCGTAGGTAGTAGGTCGCAGATCGCAGGTGCGACAGACCGCAGGTCGCAGATACCGCAGTTGACCTGCCAAGTGCCACAAGTGACCTACCACATATCAAATGACCTGCCGCAGACCGTATGTGTCACTGGTACTGCAGGTTCCGCAGGTCGCAGGTACCACAGGTGCCGCAGTTGACCTGCCAGGTTCCGCAAATGACCTGCCGTAGGCCAAGGGACCTGCTGCAGACCGCAGGTCATTTGCGGCATATCACAGGTCATCTGCCAGACCGTAGGTCATTTAACGCAGAGTGCATGTCATTTTTTACAGATCGCAAGTCATCTGCCGCCGTTTTCTGGTACAGACATTTCATCAAACACTTATGCGCATGCAAAAAAATGATTAAAATATCACAAAAAAATCAACGAGAAGAGTATTTAAATAGGTTAGATAAACTATATAAGAAATAGAGAAGATAGAGAAAATATAGGAGAAAAAAGAAGATCAAATAGCAAACTTACCGATTTTTAAAAGATAGATTATCACACAATCGTAGAGAAATATTGTAAAGAGTAGTTTGGGTATTTAGAAAAAAAAGTATAGTATGCAAAACTTATTTTTTGTGAGATATTTTGTAAATTTCGTTTTTGTTTGGGTATATTTTGCCAACTTCCCAATAGAATATAGGGAAAAAAACCTAAAAATTCCTGAACTTGTATTTTGGAGTAATATTAATTCCTAAACTTGTAGAGGTGCCTATTAATTCCCAAACTTGCAAAATTGAACACGTTAAATCCTGAACTTGTTAAACGGTTCCATATTCGTCCATAGCGTTATTTGGTCAAAAAAACGAGTTGACCGATCCGACGTGGCTCGCCACGTCACGCGCCACATCGGATCGGTCAACTCTTTTTTTTGACCAAATAACGTTATGGACGAATATGGAACCGTTTAACAAGTTCAGGATTTAACGTGTTCAATTTTGCAAGTTTGAGAATTAATAGGCACCTCTACAAGTTTAGGAATTAATATTACTCCAAATTATAAATTTAGAAATTTTTAGATTTTTTTATTGTTCTTTCTTGCCTTTGATTATCTTTATTATTTTAAAATTTCAAACTTTCTTTTTGTAATTTAATGTTTGGAGTAATCTGAGGAGTAGACAAATTATACTAATATATTATTTAAATTTTCGTAAGAAAATTTCGGAAAAAATGAAAGGGGGTAAATAACGTGGACCCACCAAACTTATATGCTTAATTAAGACATGAATTTTTTAAAAATATTTTTCCAGTAGAAACTAATAACATTGCCAAAAAAAAGTGTCAACATTCAAATGAATATTTTTTTCACTTGTATTTCTTTTTTCTCAGTTTGTGGATGAAAATAAAATTATGAACTGTTCTTTTGAATAAATATTCATTTATCCTAGAAATTATATGAGATTTAATATGATTTTTAATCTCGTTAGGAAGAGTAAAAAGAACAAAAAAAATTATTTGAATACAATTTAGCATTG